CAATGGCGGACTGATGACAGCTCACTCAGGGCAGGTCTAAGGTAAGACACCAGGCCAGTCTGTGCTGAAACGCTACTGTCAATCAAACTATCATGGGAGGGGCCTGTCTGTGTGACGTCACACAGACAGGCATCTGAGATCAGCTCGATTTGAGAACGGGGAAAATATTTAACCAGATTTTTTTTTTTTAAACACTGGGTGGATTTTTATCATTATAGGGTGGTTGTGTACACACACTGCCAACACACATTTCAGTTCAAACAACTTGTAAAAGTACATGTAGCATCCTATGACCCCTTCAACCACTACAGTCATGGCCAAAAGTTTTGGCAGTGAAATACATTGTGTTTTGCAAAGTGTAACAGACTTTAATAAAAGTTATCCTTAATTTCTCTATTTGTTTTGTGTTGCCTTTGATATATTTTGAATGTTAAAAATTGTCTAAGGTGCATTATTTCCGTTGTTTATGGGGGACTTTTATTTTGAAATGGAATGTGCACCCCCCCATAAGGTTTGTGTATTTGTATACTGTTAGTTAAAAACAAGTATTTGTGAAAATCGCTGAATATGTCTAATAATGTTAATGCACATTTTTGTATCGCTTCATTCAGCTCTTTCGGTGATTTCTAAACTAAACGGACAAGTAATAAAACTTCAAATCATCATTAAAGTTTCGGCCATCATTCGGACGGGGTCCGCTACAGTAAAAGCTTCACTTTTGTTGGTTCAGATCCCCCGATGCACGTGCATGCTCAAGATGGCAACGTGACGGTCATTAACGGATTGCTGCACGTCTGAATCAGCGTGATGGTCTACAGAGCTGAGACGCTGTAGTCAATGAGTTCACTATGGAAATGGATATGGATGAACAAGAATCTGAAAGCCTGCTTCAGACGGAACAGAAGGTGAAAAGGATATAGAAGGAGCAGTTAAATTTAAAGATAAAAATACTTCAGAACTTCAGTGTCATGTGCAAGATAGAGCAGAGCTCCCTCGACGCTCAGAACGTCCACATATGCCCACGGAGAGAATGCTTGCTTATCAGAAAGATGAATGTTGTAAGAAAGAAAAAAGGTTAACCACTTTGTATGAGCAATGGAGGTTAGAAGCTCTTAAACCAAGACAGAACTTAAAAACAGACATAACTGATAAACAGCTGGCTGAAATTGCAGACTCTCTTGAGGACAAAAATAATTGTATTCTGAAACTCTTCACTTACACAAGGGAACATGTTACACCTGCTGCAGATTTAAGACGTAAAATTGATGCATGTGAAGCTGTGACCAATGATATTGTCAAAATAGTGCTTGAAAGACTGGTAACTGTAGATGGAGTGTTTGATGCAGAAAGAGAAAGGGGCCGGCTGCGTGAACTTTTAGCACATAGTTATGCTCGCTCTATATATGGTTCCAGTGCTTCAAAAAGGAGTGTCAGCAGCCATTCTGGATCCTCTTGTACAGCAAGCAAACGTGAAGATGCTGCGGCAGAGCTGGCCGCAAAAGAGGCTGAATACAAAATGATGCAAACAGAAAGGCAACAAAAGGAAAAAATAAGAACCTTAGAAGAGCAACTCAGAAGACAGCTAGAAACTCAAAAGTTTGAATTAGAACGACTGCAGGTAGAGAAAGATATAGAGGTTGCTCAAGTCAGAATAAAATCCTATGATGAAGAAATAAAACAAGAGACAAGAAGTCTCAATACAGAATGATCATCAAGGGCAGAGAAACGAAATGCTACATCAGCATTGCAATGTTGTCCAGTCAACATCTCTCAGTGAAGTGTCCCATCTTGCTCAAGCAGTTCTGGACAGCATAGCCATAAACAGGTTATCCGTACCTGAGCCTACAGTGTTCAACGGAGACCCTATTCAGTTTGTAGACTGGAAAGCATAATATATGTCATTAATAGATAGAAAGGGCATCTCAGTAGCTGATAAACTATTATTTTAAAAAGTATGTGAGTGGCTCAGCACACAAATATCTTGAGGGCACTTTTTATCGAAATGATGAAGAAGCCTACAAAGACGCTTGGGACAAGCTTAACCAAAGATACTGCCAGCCCTTTGTTATTCAAAGGGCGTTTCGGGAAAAGCTGTCTAAGTGGCCTAAAATACAGTCCAAAGATGCAGAAGGTCTGATAACATTTTCAGACTTCTTAAATGCCTGCTTGCAAGCCGTACCTCATGTTAAAGGTCTGGAAATATTAAACGGCTGTGAAGAGAACCTGAAGCTGGTACAGAAACTTCCTGACTGGGCAGCTTCCAGATGGAACCGCCAGGTCACAACAGCCCTCATGGATGGCAAAGAGTTTCCAAATTTATATGACTTTGTCAATTTCATGTCAACAGAGGCAGAAATCATGTGCAATCCCATCACGTCTTTACATGCTCTTCATTCTTACGAGTCACCTCAAGAAAGAAGAGTCTCAAAGGAAACCAAAAGAAACAGAGCAATTGTGTTTAAGACTCAAACAAGTGGAAACAATGACAGACAAACAACAGTTAAAGAACAGTTAAAAGCACAGTGCATGTTGTGTCAAGATGACAATCATCAGCTTCTTAAGTGCCCACAATTCATGGAAAAGTCTCTGAAAGACAGAAGGACCTATGTCAAAGATAACAAACTCTGTTACGGGTGTCTAAAACCAGGTCACTGTGCTAAGGAGTGTCGTCGTCGACACACATGTGATGTATGCAAATTGCGACATCCCACATGTCTTCATGATTACAGCTATGACAAGGACAGAAATAGAGAACGACCACTGTCCATGGTAAGCAATGTGCATCCACTTGAAAGTGAAACTACTAATGCCATGTCACTTAATATCACAAGCGAAGGTCAGTCAGTCATTACATCTATGATCGTACCTGTATGGGTGTCGTCGGTTAAAAATCCTTCCAATGAACAGCTTGTGTATGCTTTGCTAGACACACAGAGTGACACTACTTTCATTGACGAAGAAATTAGTAATGCACTGCAAGTGGCCAGTCATCCAGTGAAACTCAAACTAACCACCATGATAGGAGACAATGTGATCATTAAGAGACTGTTCATATATAATTGAGCAGCAGTATTTGAATAGTATTAAGTCATTGATCAAATATGTAATAGAATTTGATAATTACACTTATTTATTTAGGTGATTTATTTAAAAAGGATTTGAGTGTAATGTGGAGTGAATATGTGTGTGACGAGTGGGGGCGGGGCCGAGAGCCGTGGGAACGGAGTGAGGCCGGTGGAGTAATTGATAATGAGCGACACAAAATAAAATCCAGGCCTGGTCCTCTCTCGTCTTTCACTGTCGTAGCTCCTCCTTTTATCCTTCCGGAGCTCCTCCTTGGGACTCGAGACCGGTGAGTGGTGCAGGTGTCGCTCACTATCAATTACTCCATCGGCCTCGCTCCGTTCCCACTCGTCACAATGTGCTTCAGCTCTCTAACCTGAGAGAAGCTCATCAGCATCTTCATACCCAGAATGCAGTTCTTCAGAGATGAGACTCCCTGTTAAAGAAGAGCAGAGCAGTCAGAAACATGTTCATCATTACAAACAGACTGAATCCTCATTTCCTTTGCATCATAAATCATTGTGTTCGTGACAACACAACAAATTACTTTATTACTTAAAACAGTTTCTTTATTATTTAAAGCATTCAAGACATAAATTCTTATGGTGTTTAGGCCTATTAGCAAACACACATGAACCCATTCCTCACTGCCTTCCAGAAATACACACAGGAAGAAACAAACACCTACTCACAGACACACCTGCACCTACTGTACATGTGCAATCTTATGAGCCCCTGCTTATGTCGCTCTAAAAATACTCACAGGAAGAGAGACACACACACACACACACACACACACACACACACACACACACACACACACACACACACAGACACGCGCCAGCC